TTTTGTAGCAGATTTGCCCAGTGCAATACAACATCTGATTTCCTGATTGCTGCTCCCATGGGTGTTGACTGTGGACCCAAGTAAAATGAAATCTTTCACAACTTCAATTTTTTTCTCTGTTTATCATGATGTTGCTTATTGGTCCAGTTGTGAAGATTTTTTGTTTTCTTTATGTTGAGGTGTAACCCATGCTGAAGACAGTAACCTTTGATCTTCATCAGTAACTGCTTCAAGTCCTGTTCACTTTCTGCAAACAAGGTTGTATCATCTGCATGTCAGAGGTTATAAAAGAGTCTTTCCCTAACCTTGATGCAACTGATTGCTTGATCTCCTAGAACATCCTCAAAGAAGCCATATGAACTGCATTTCAGGGTAGTACACCAAAAGGATGGGTAGAGGTGAAAGGGGAGAGAATTTCTCCATCAGCAGCTGTCTCCCATTGGTCAAAGGATCAGTCCATGGAGTGTTAACTCCTCCACATTCCAAAGTTGCACTATGTAAGCAAACAAAGAGGTAGGACGGCATCCCATGCCTCAGCATCAACAGGAAGTTCTCAAAGCAAGAGTTGAGAGACACGTAGTGCAGATGAGACAATGCAGTTCAAGGCTGGACCTGTGTGAAATCAGTTGAAGTCTATGCAGAGCTGATCACTACAGTACTGGAAAAAGACACAGGTGAATCTGAGAGGACTTCAGGTGGTGCATAAGAGGTATCTAATACACTTATTTTCAAACTTTCCATGTTATAGTTGCAATGACAACTGAGCATTTCTATAGAAAGTTGCAGGGTTGAGCATGTATGTTGAGCATGCAGATAAGAGGGAAGGTGTCACATAAACGTCATGCTCCTGTGCTGCTCTAGAGACAGAAATAGTCCAAGAGTAGAGCCTATTTCTCTTAACAACAGCTCTCAGCTAGTAAGCCCTGAACTATACCACTTCCTGTCATTGAGATCGCATATGAGAAACGGGTACCACTTTGGTGCAGAAGGGCATGGTTGAATTTTCAATAGTGATGGGTTGATTGGATATTCATATGGAAAAAAATGCATTTGGATTCCTACATCATACCATACACCATAATCAATTTCAGGTGGATTAAATATCTAAATATGAAATATGAAACAATAAACTTCTAAAAGATTACATAAGAGGATATATTCAGGACCTTGGTGTAAGCAGATTTCTTAAACAGGATATGGTAGCTGCTCACTTTATATAAATGAAAAGATTAATAAACTGAACTACACTACAACAAAGACTTCCCTTTCACACTAGAGTGAACAAGCAAGTTTCAGAGTGGGAGAAGATACCTGTGACACATATATCCAACAACTGGAACTCTCATACTCTGATGGTGGGAAGATAAATTTGCACAATTATTTTGGAAGACTTCTTGGCAATGTCTACTAAACCTAAATATATGATCCAATAATTCCACTTATAGTTATTTACCCAATAAAAATGCATGCTTGTAACCAAGTGATCTGTACAAGAATGCTCACTGCATGTAGCATTATGCAGAAGAGCTGAAAACTGGAAACAACCCAAATATCCATTAACAGTAGAATGGGTGAATAAGAGTAGTCATATTCATAAAATGGAATACTATGTTGTTGTTGTTATGTGCCGTCGAATTGTCTCCGACTCATAGCAACTTTATATACAACAGAACAAAACACTGCCTGATCCTGTGCCAGCCTCACGAGGCCTAGTATACCTGAGCCCATCACTGCAGCCACTATGTCATCCCATCTTGTTGACCCTCTTTCGTTGACCCTCCATTTTATCAAGCATTACATCTTCCTCCAGGGAATGGTCCCTTCTGACAACATGACCAAAGTAAGGGAGACAAAAAGTCTGGTAATTCCTGCTTCCAAGCAGCATTCCAGCTGCGCTTCTTCCAGGACAGATTCGTTAGTTCTTTTAGCAGTCCACGGTACTTTCAGCATTCTTCACCAACAACACAACTCAAAAGTATCACCTCTTCTTCAGTCTTTTTTACTCACTGTCCAGCTCTCACATGCATACGGGATGATTGAAAATACCATGGCTTGGGTTAGGTGCATCTTAGACTTTAAGGAGATATCTTTGCACTTCAGCACTTGAAAGAGGTCTTTTGCAACAGATTTGCCCAATGCAATAATACATCTTTTGATGTCTTGACTGCTGCTTCCACTGGCATTGACTGGAGAACCAAGTAATATGAAGTCTTTGACAATTTCAATCTTTTCTCCATTCATCATTATATAGAATATTATACAGCAATGCAAATGAATTACTGCTACACAAAAGAACACTGATGATTCTCACAGATAGAATGTCAAATGAAAGACAGAAGAGTGCATATCATGTCATTCACAAACAGGCATATTAGAAGTTAGAATAATGGTTGCCTTGGGAAAGGAGGAAGGAGGTAGTGATACAGAGGGAGCATTAAGGGAGGTCCTGGGGCGTTGGTAATGTCCTGTATTTACACAGGTTGTCTTAGTATCCTAGAGTTGCCATAAAAAAATATTGCAAAGTGGTGCTTTGAAGGATCGAGATTTATTTTCTCACAGTTCAGGAGATTAGAAGTCCAAACGCAGGGCCTCGCCTCTAGGGGAAGGGTCTTCATTGTCTCTTTCAGAGTTCCTGGCTTGTGGATGTATCTGCCCCTGTTGTCACTTGTCATCTGTCTTCCCTTGGGTGTACCTGTCTATTCTGCCCTTTTATAAAAGCCCTCCCAGAAGAGATTAGCTTTAGGATGCCCCCTACTCTCACATGACCCATTAACATAAGCCTATTCCCAAACAGGGTCACATTCACAGGTACAGGGGTTAGGACTTAACATCTTTTATGGGAATGCAATTCAATCCATAACACCAGTTTTGTGTACCTTTCTGAACCTATGTGTTTCATCGCAGTCCACACATTAGGTTAATGAGAATTTTGTTTTACCTTTTCTAAAGCTCTGGTGGTGCAGGGCCGAAGGCATTTGACTACTAACCAGAAAGTTGGAGGTTCAAACCCACCAGCTGCTCTGCAGAAGGAAGATGGGGCAATCTACTACTTCTGTAAAGATTTACTGCCTTGGAAACCCAGTGGGAGTTGCTCTGAGTCAGAATCACCTCGATGGCAGTGGGTTTGTTTGTTGGTTTTTTCCCTCTCAGCTCAAGGCTCCCAAGCTTCTTGCCATGCATACCCCAAGCTTATGTTTGACCCATGCGTTAGCCAGTAAATTCATGCACTTTTTAGAAATGCAGGTTAAATGATGCTATTACTGTTGACTTTGCTTTCTTTCAGATGCAACATGCAGCATTAAGAACGGCAGATGCACGCAGTTTTGTAAAAAAGGTGCTGACAGCAAGGTGGTTTGCTTCTGTACTGAAGGATACCGACTTGCAGAAGATCAAAAGTCCTGTGAACCAGCAGGTTAAAATCTGTTTTTTAAACCTTTACAGATTCAGTCTCCAAATCTATATGTAAACTTTCAACACCTCAACTAGCCTAATTTTAACCCTGACTTTTATCTACTTCCCTTTGAAATCACAGAAAAGCTCCATAGCTTGAATTGGACAAATTAATTCCCAAAATTGCAGCTTCCTTTTAGAGAAATTCTGGAATTGTCTACAGCTTGAATTTTAAGCCTGACTGTTTTTTTTTTTTTTTTTTTTTTTTTTTTTTTTTTTTTTTTTTTTTTTTGCTATGACTTGGATATCATGAAGCATTGATTTTCAGAACTTCTGTATAATTCTTTGTAATTCATCAAATCAAATTAATGTAGTAATACTGTACTTTAAAAAAAAAAATCAGTGATTGATTGTTAGGCTTCTTGTTCAAGGATGGTGAATTTTAAGCATGATTCTGCCAGAGTCTGGAAAGTTATTTCATATCCTTGAGTTGACATGCCTGGTGTCAGAATGGTTCCAAAACGATCTGTTTTAAGTTCTGCCAGGCAGTCTACACAGCACTGTCAACCTGCACAGCAACGGACAAAGTGCTGTTTCCCGGTCATGCCAACTGTGCCACCACATGGGTAGCTGATTGGTGTATTCAGAGCACCTCTACTCCACACTCATATTGCTCTTCTTTGAAAATGAAAGTGGAAGAAAGTTTGATTAAAAACAAAAAGTATATGCTACAAGATCAATTATACTTGATAAATGAGGGGACTGTTGGAAGGAAATCAGATATAATTTCTTTTGCATTTCCAAAGCCTGATATCTTATTAAATTGGCACATTGAATAACATTCCATTCTTCTGTAACTGGGTTCGATACCTGTCTCAGCAATGTAGCAGGCAGAGGAAATTAAAGAAAAGGCTGGAACGCAGTTTACATGCTGCAACTAAGATGAACAGTCAGTCTCTAAGTTTCCAGGGCCAAGGGCCGACCCTTCAGACCCGGTTCTTGACACACACTGCCTGAAAGCTAGCCTACCTTGGGAAGAGGAAAAATAAAGATTTTATCCTTTAAAACCAAACTGCCAGGGTAGACAAAATGGCATAGTGGCTAGCCCCTCACAAACGCTTCCATGATTTAAGAGAAAAAAATATTGAGAACCACCCTCCAAATATTGTGTTATGTTTGAATATAGCTTCATGCTTTAGCAGATTAAGGAAGCCAAACCCGAAATAAGCTTATCTGCCTTTCAACAGTAATGGTCCTTTTTCTCTAGCTATTGTTGATGATTTATATTTATACATAAGTATTTTGAACTAATTTCCTGTTTTCCCAACCCCATGCTGTCTTCACGATACTCTGCCACAGCTGGTTGCTATAGAAATGTCTGTTACAAGGAATGTGGCTAGAAAGAAAGTGAAAAATGAAAATAAAATATGAGGTGACTTTGCTTGACAACAAATTTCCATTCTGGTAGACCTCAATGTATCAGTGGACTCTTCCTTTTCCTCCAGAAATAAAGCAATCAAAGGGAAAAAGTTAACCAGGTCCTGGGTGGACGTGGTTATGATAATCATCATGTTAGTAATCCATCTGGTTACTTTTTTCCAGCCAAGTAACTGAATTACAATGACCTATCACTTGACTGCTAACCAGAAGGCTGGCGGTTCAAACCCACCAGCCACTCCTCGGAAGGAAGGTTGGGCAATCCTACTTCCGTAGTGAT